GTTACCTGAGTGAATCATAGCGTAGCTAACGCGCATCGCGCACGTGTTTTTGTAGTAGAGCCACTTCCTCAGTCCCGCATGGTCAACCATTCCAGTATCTGAGTCGTAGGTTGAGTAGGAAGGGTAATTACTTTGAAGCGTGGAGAAAGACGGAAAACCTAAGATATCACGAATGAATAATATGTCAAAACTAACGTTCGCTTTTTCAGTTTGCATAGGTGCAATATGTTTTTTTAAGAATAARACTCTGAGAGAAAAAGCTACATTTGTAGGCATGGCCATTACTACCAATATTTKTTAGGTATATCATTAATTACAACACCACATTAAACAGATGAGAAGAACGAGAAAGGAAGAGATATCAAGCCATGCAAAAAGCGATTTATTTTGCAAGCTTACCATTAGTGAGGTTGATGGCTTCAATGCTGAGAAGAGCAGCAACAACAAAAAGGAATCTTGCAGTCTTCATAGTCTTCTTTGCCAAGTTTTCACTTTTTTCTTGTTCAAGATATCTTCTTTCTAGATTTTTCGCTCTTTTTTCTTCAGGAGAATGATGAGTAGCCAATGTTTGGCGCCTTTTTATAGTGAGATTTTAGACTTACTGCACGTGTTTCAGATACAAAGATAGAACAGGAATAAAGCCAGTAATTTTCGTGTGTTATTGAGTGTGGCTGTCACTTGACCTCGGTAAAGCAACATAGGAAGCCGATTGCACGTATTTCAGATACAAAGATTAAAAAGCATTTGAGCTARATAGAATGAAATAATTAATTAAYAGCCATTAAATTTTCAAGTGCAAATCAATTCAGTAATATAATTTTTGTACGTACTGGATAAGGACTACCAAGAATAGCGAAAACTAGTTTCGTTTAATAAAAACCTGTTCAGTTCAGTATGATTTACAACAGTTGTAGAAAAATTCGTAAACAAAAATTGATGGGGAGCKGCGCGCGCACAAACACAAAAAGAGAGAGGGGGGAGCTCGCATACAAAACAACTTGCACACGGGATATTTGCAAAGTTCCACTCTTTCTTTGTGTTCATTTCCTGCTTCACTTTGTTTATTAGTACGGCTTCACTCACTCGTCTGAGCAGAGCGTCTCCCTTGAATACATTAGTTACATCATACGTGTAATCAGGAATTTCCCATTTGTGCTACTCTTTCGCGTGATTCCACAAAACTGACCCTTTAGGTTTATTGTCCAACTCTCTTGAGTGTTCTCTTCCTCTCAATCAATCAACAAGGCATGGACAACAATCCGCCAAATACGCTCAAAAAGCGTCATTTTTTACCACTGGAGATTTAATGTGTCAAAAACAACACGAGACGAGAACATGCATGCACAAAACCTTTCTCAGTCGTATCTCGTTTCCAAGAGAATATGTCGTGTTACCAAGTAGGATAGATRGATAGCTTTAATCAGAAAATCATATGGCAGCCAAAAATAAAGATAAAATTTTTATTTACAAAATGAGACGCATTTAATACACGTATTAAGTACACGTTCTTTTGCGCAGCAAAAAGGCGCTGTTTCCGTAGTCTGTACGGGCAATTGTTCTTTTCCGGCAAAAAATGATGGAGTTTGTGCTCTGGTTGGGAGACTATCTGGTCAAACAACTTCTGACAATGGTCGTTACATCTTTCCTTCAAACTATCTAATTCATACAGTCGCAATGCGTCGTGATAAGAAAGTGCAGGAGATATTATAGAAAAGGCGCGTTTCTGGACCCGTTCTATGTCCTTACATCGATAATCCGGTAAGGCATTATGATATATAGTGGTTCACAATATACTAAAACTGGTCTAATACAGGTGGTGAAACTACTAACGATGTCGCAGGCAGGAATCTTGGCACGCTTGCGAAAAATCATTAGCTTAATCATTCCTAATTATCTCAGAGATATGACAATTCCATTGGAGTGAGTTGCTTATGGCAACGCCTAGTACTTTAACGAATTCTACTTGTTCGAGTTGTTTAGAAATCAAAGTTAATGCGTCGAAATATTAGCTTTGATCTTTTGAAGTCGATTTGCAGTTCTTGGCATTTTTCCGCGTTGAGTTGAAGATGTTGGTGGTTGGACCACATCTCGACCGCTGAGACTGTCTCCTGCATCGTACTTTGGCCTCCTCTAGGGACCACCTCAGCCAGCGTCGTATCATCAACGTATTTCCATTCATTCGATTCTGGAGGAATTAATCATCAACACAAAAAGAGAGAGGCCCAGTTTGGTGCCCTGGGATACACCTGATGGAACGGCGCCCCATTCTGAAAAACAGTCAGTAGATAGCTTTACTCGTTGTCGCCCATCCATCAGAAAGTCACATACCCAACGGGCAATCCCGCGAGGGATGCGCAACGTGAGAATCTTGGCAACCAGCGTACTGTGGTCCACTAAGTCAAAGGCTTTCTTGTAATCTAACAGCACAACACGTACCGCCTAGCCATTCCCATCGGTGGCATGCGCGCATTTTTGCATCATAGAAAGGAGAGCTTGCAGAGTTGAAGATTTTGGTATTGCTCCAAATTGATTAGAATCGATCGATCAATTCCAAGACGGCTGGACGACTGTACGCTAACCACGAAGTCCTCTGCTAACTTGGACAAGGCCGCTGTTAGTGAGATAGCTGGAATACAATCAAAGCACTTCCTTTCTTCTACCTTTTTATAGCCACCTGAGTATCGACCTTTTTCAATTTCTAGTCGTGGTTGATTATCCTTAGCTTAGTGAGGGCTCCTCTGTGATGGAATTGTTTAACTTTTTTTCAAATATCCCTCTAMCGAATAATTGACTTTAATTAGTCGGAAAGCTCTTAATTTATTTCTTTCGGCCACGGATCCTCTTCCATCATTAAAAAGTTCTTCATGCCAATTTTATTTAAGCAATAAAGGATGGATGCCGTGCGTTTATCGGTGAAATAAAGCACGCGGGGATGTTGGGAGACGAAAAAAGGCCTAAAAAATCACGAGCGTAGCGAGGCACGGCAATCCATCCTTTATTTCTCTTATAATATAGAAAGTTTTCTTTACGAGTCATTCGCTCGCGAGCGTGCATTTACCGGCGAAATAAATCACGCTGTTAGACCAATCAGGGCGCGCGTAATATTGCATCTATATTATAATTCTCTATATCTTGCAATCGCGTTTTAATAGCGGGAAAAGGCCGGTTTGCCGGCCGGATACAAGAATTATTATTTTCTTCTACTCATATATAACCTAACCCGTTTCTTGCAAATAAATTTTTCACTTTTTGGCTCCAGCAGATTTTATTGCTGGAATGTATCATTTCTTTTATARAATAAACAAAAATAAATGAATAAATTGTAACGTTTTTTCATCAGTCTTAATAATGGCTCGGTGAGCCGAAAGCTCGACTCAGTAGCAAATAAGAAAATTAAGTTGAAGCAACGTTTTTAAAAGTAATTATGAATAGACCAACCTACAATCATCTATTTGATCTAATAAATAAGAGATTTTAAAACTCTGAGAATAAAGCGAGACTAAGCTCAGCCAATATTTTAGGCATCTTAATTTTGCTGCTACATGTAACTACATGTAGAGGGAAGCGGCCTAATTCCCCATAACAAGCGGAATTGGTTGCACTTTTCCCACACCAAGTAAGATTTTGCAGAATTTTATATGAAATAACATCATGTCTTAAATACTTCTCAAACTAACTTTTAATGAATAAAAAAGTGAGTTTCGAAGTGCTACTGATGATTTAAATGAAATTTTTTCCCATGTGAAAAAATCACTGAAAACCACCCACACCTCCCCCCAAAGTTTTTGTTGTCAGCTATAATTAGCTATGGGAGCAAGCTCAAATAGGTAAAAGATGCATAATAAAACAAGAAATAAGCTTTAAAAATGAAAAATTAAGCATAATTTACATTTTTGAAAACCTATGTGTCAAAAACTGTTTGCCATGGCAACATGGATGACGTTATCAGCAAAAAAATTGCATCAAAATCTGCCCAGATAAATTTTAGGAAAAGTCCAAATGTTTCAGAGCTGTAGCTGTCTTGGTTCGAAAGTTATTGGTATTTTACTCGAAGGGGGGGGGGGGGCTCAAAAGCCTTCCACCCCCCCCCAGTCTGAATAGGGCTAAACGAATATATCTACAGAAAAAAATCAACATGACTATAACAACTTCAATTCAGTATAAAAAGAAGGAAAGAAATAAAAAAAAATGAGTCGAGAATCAAGGACGCGATCCTAAGTTCGACGCTATTCGAGTATAATATTCTGTGTAAAATCTAAATAATGTCTCGAAAATAATTATCAAACAAAATCTACAGAAAAACAAGATGACTATAACAACTATATTTGTATATTTAAAAAGAAAAAAAAAAGAAAAAAATGTGCTCGACGAGATTCGAACCCGCGATCCTCATTTTAATGAGGATAAAATAATTTGTTTTTGTATGCGMCACTCGGCCCCTCTTTCTTTTTGTGTTTGTGCGTGCGCCGCTCCCAATCAATGTTTGCTTACGTATTATTCTACAACTGTTGTAAAACAGTGAACTGAAGAGGTTTTTTATTAAACGAAACCCCGGGGGTGGAGGGGAGGGGTACTCCCATATATTTGCTATACAGGGACGTGCCGCTGGCCAGGGTATGGTTTTTGGCCTTGCTGTCTTAAACAGGGTATACATTTCACCCGAAATTGTCTTAAACAGGCTGTACAATTTAGATAAAAGACCGAGATAATTTTTTTGTGTGTCTTGGACAGGGTAATATTTTCGTAAGAAATTCCGTAGAAATAGTAGAAATAACGTTTCACTGTAACAGGATTAAAGTGTTGTCAGTATAACTACAGTTTTGATGGTTGCGGCGTAGATACCGATTCCTTATTTTTCCRATTTGTCTTGAACAGGGTATGGATTTTTACTT